CCTCCACCTCCTCCCCCTCTATCTGAACCGGCAGTGGACCTTCTCTGGACCTCCCATTGCTTTTGCAACAAGATGAACTGGATTTTATCGAATAACTCCTACTGTCAAGAAATTTAAGCTTGTCAAACTTGTTGTGAGTTGGCTGTGTGGCAGCCTTCTCGTAGAACTAATATAAGAATCAGCATGAGTTTAATTCACTAAATGTTAATGTTGACAAACTTTTTGCTGACTGGACCAAACTGTGCACAAGTGCATCAAGTCATGCAAATGTATCTATAAGAGAAAGCCCTGATTCATTAAGCTAAATATAATCACATTTATAGAAACAATAGCCCTGTGTAGCTTATTTGGATATACGTGTATTTCCAGCTCATTCTCTTTTTAAACACTTCTATGAAAATTAATATAATACATTAACGATATATACAACCTGCAACATTAAATATTGGATGTGTCATCCATGATAACCTTGACACCACAGAGTCTCAGACATTTCAAATCTCAGCATATACTGTATGTGAAGCCAAACCAGTTGTTAAAGCCTTAGATCTTCAAAATAACCGATATACATGGAGCTGCTTGAAATGGACTTTGACACATTTCAGCCAATTTAAAGTTATTTATTCTCCAGCCTGCCAGCATCCCTGACTGGCTGCAAGTTTGAGGTTAGACATAATGTGTGGGAAACAGAAATGCTTATATTTTTGAGTAAGTTATCTAACTTTAGTTGATATATTTCAGTTTAAAGGCAAATCATCACAACTCCAAGTATATAAGCTGATATTTACACTTTAAAGCTTCCCATGTCTGCCTTATACACAGATATGCTGATGAACGATAGAAAACAGTGACAATAGGGAGCAGCAGCCTTTCAAACTTTCAAATTAAAAGCCACCAGTTTATTTTAAAATGAGTGAGATTTTAAAAACAAAAGCCTTCAGTTTAGAGCTCAGAAAGCAGAGCTGGTCGGCTACCAATTGAAAGGTTGGTGTTTGGATCTCCAGCTCCTCTGTTCTGCATGTCTTGGTCCAGATACTGAACTGAGCTACTCCCAATGTTCCTGTTTGATTTTCTGTCTCTGTACCAGTAATTTCTTCTGTCAATCTCACTTTGTATTTAGTTCTACTTCCTTGCCTCATCCTCTGTGATTAGTGTTAGCTCGTCTCTCACCTGTTTCCTGTACTCGGTATCTGGTGTGTATTTATTGTCTGAATCGTGCATTTCCCTTTGTTGTGTCCTCCCTCGTGGTTATGTGACATGGTTTCAGGTTTTCAGTTTGTTCTGCTAATTCCCTGCTCTGTGTATGTTTTGGGTTGTTTCCTGTGATTTTCCAGGACTATAGCTGAGTTTGAAGTTAATTCCTTGTGTCAGGGGTCCTGAGTCTGGGTCCAAATCTGCCTGACGCGCAGCCATTTTACGACTTACGACTGTGTGAATGTTAGATAAAATCGCTTGGGCATAGAAAAAAAAATTATGAATGTAAGCAATTCGGTGAATCATGTTAGAAGTACAACGCACTTTGAACACTGATTTAGAGCAGAAACGTCCTGTGTAAGTATGTGTCAATTTACCACATTTCTATTTTTAAGACTAAAAGCTGAGGCATACTTACAGGATGTTCAGAATTACAAAATAAAAGACTCAAATTACATATTAAATGTTAACTGTTTGCTTTAATGGTGTGAAATTGTAAAGCTAGAAAACCCGAAGTTAACTTTAGAAAATAAATTTGATCATCCGAAATGGATCAGATTTTCAAAATAAAACCCCTCAGTGAGTTAGATTTTCAAAAATAAAAGCGTAGTTTACTTATTTTTAATTTTAAAAGGTTCCAATGCTATCTCTCCTGAGCTTTTCTTAGGCCAGTCTATTTAACGTTTTAACGAAAAACAACAGAAAAGTCCCACAGACAACTATACAAAAACCATTACAGCGACTAAAAGGAACATAAAAAATTCAAACATGACATGTAAAATCTATGCAAAGTACTGTAGATCAACTTAATATCAACATATGTGATGAAACCATGTTTTTTTGTTATTGTTATTTATAAAATAAAAGAAGTGAAAGGCAACATAATCCACATCTTCAAGATGAATAATTTCAATGCTCTAACTCATTTAGAAAAAAAAGAAAAAAGAACAAAAAGAATTTAATAGCAATGTTAAATTTGTTGTAATATCTAGAATATTAGGTATCACAACAAGTTTACCTCATGTCTTTTAAAGTCTCAAATTGTCTGTTCACGCCCTGCTTGTAAGGGAAAGCATGAAAACAGATACTTAAATATGGAAATACTAAAAGCTTAGGCGATGGAAAAGAAACCTTGGACATAAAGTAGGCGGTGATGAGCTGTCAGCCTCATAGCTTCAGGCACATAAACATTTCATAACAACTTTAGAGAGTACATCTGTTATTCGTTTTCCAAGATGTTGTGAAGCTGTCACGTCTAGTATGACAGCTGGTGCATGATGAACTATCAGTAAACGCATTTGGCTCGATGCACATGAAAATCTGCAATTGTATCATGAAGTGTTTCTGTGCAAAAACAACTGGTTTTGAGTGTCTAACTTGCAGCTTCAGAAAGATTCCCTTAAAAACCTTCCTCACTGGACTTGATGGATATTTTTTGCCTGCACTTTCTTCATCACTTTCCGCTGTTCTTCTCATTATCGTCTTTTTATTCCCACTAAATGCACTTTCCACTACCTTTGCCAATATTTTTCCATTCTTACTCAGCGCACACACCGGACTCATAACAAGAGGAGAGGAACAGGAACTGCTTGCAGACCCAGTACAGTTGTGCACAACTTCAGACCAAATGCAATCTTTCACAAGATGAGAGCACAACGGAAGGAATGGGTTAAAGATTTCCGTCCACCGTGCTAACACAGGAAAATGAATCGTCTATAGCCAGTTACACTTCAGACAGACCAGGATACTGTGGATATCATCAAGCTTTTGTTCCTTTCTTGAAGTTTCTCGGGAGGTTTCTTGCTGTTTGGCAGCCACCATGCTTCCTTTCCTCACAAAGAGCGTCCCCCTAATCTTCCACCTCTTCCTAAATCTCAGTTTGTGTCTAATGGGCTGGACACACGGTAAGTAAAATACATTATATTCTGATTCTAAAATCCCAATGAGACCGTCTTTGTGAACTTTTGTGTCTTTATGGGGAAAAAAAGTTTTAACAAGAAATAAGCCAGCTGACTGAGTTGCTGACTAATTGTGGAGTTATTTTATAACTATGAGTCACTTCTTCTGCTCATCTGAGACTTCAGTCACTTCATGCTATGCACTCAGTGTGGCTTACTGAAACAAGAGTAAAACGTACACAGATGCAGATATCAGGCATACCAGTGACTAAAGCTGGGATACTTTTACAGTTGAATTCATTTGCCTTTGTGAGTAGAATTAAACCTGGGAAAGCTGTAATTGTTTGTTGCCCTTTGGGAGCTATAACCTGAGAAACATGTTCACTGATTGACTGCAGTTTTCTGTTTGAGAGAAAACTACCATTACACAGCAGGTATATTCATTAGTGCTCCAAATGAAGCATCATAAATTGGATTTTGGGATGTATTTGGATCGTTCTCAAGCTGCTCAATGTGATCAGCATCAATGTGACACTAGGTTTAACCTCCTAAGACCCAAACTCTTCCACAGCATGCATTTTTAATTTCTCTTTGATCTTTGGGCATATTGGGACCTGATGAATGTAAAAACAAAATTACCTATTTTTTTTTTACCTAATTTTTGTTTCTAAGAAAAATGAGAGCCACATATGAGGATATTTGTTTAAAATTTCGATAGAACAGTAGCAGTATAATGTCCTCGTAAGTGGATATCAGGCCCTTGTAGAGCAAAATTTAGTATTTTGGTCAAAATGTGATGGCCACATATGTGGATGCCAGGTCCTAGGAGGTTAAACAAGGGCAAACTGAGATTTGGTGTACACACACTGTATACTCGTATAGCCCTGTTTGATTTTGATGTTTTTTACCTGCTGTAAAAGATCAATATGGTGCCATTCCGTCATGTGATATGTTCTTGGAAGTTTGATCTGCCTCATCAGACGATATTTGAAAGGGACTTGTTGGTACTGTTGACTATTTTTCTACAATCACAAACACATAATTTACGATTACTTATTTTACTTATGCTGAGGTTTCCACTGGCAGCTCTTAGATTTAAAATCTAAATATTTTCCTTTTCCTTCACAGCCCTGAGGGGAGACAACTGCCCGAGCTCTCAGTGGAACGTGATGTGTCGCCCGTGTTGTGAGTACCACCTGATCCAGTGTCGGTGTCCATCAAAAGGCACAAGGGTAGGCTACACTGTTCCCTGCTGCCGCAATGTCCTGGATGAATGTGACCCCTGTATTGTTCATCCAGGTAAATTCTTGTCCTTTTCTGTTTTTTCTAAACAAAACATATTACATGATATATTGTTGTGAAAAAATATCAGAGCTGTTGTGGTATACTGCAAATGACTAGGAGTTCCAATTTATCTTAAAAAATGTTTTCGATTATTACTTTTTGCTCTGCCGTTGTCTCTCTCCAGGCTGCAGTCTATTTGAGAATTGTAAAACCTGCAACAATGGAACATGGAGAGCTAATGATGACTTCTTCGTGAATGGGAAGTATTGTACTGAGTGCCGTCAAGGCTGGAGTGGAGGGGATTGTAAAAGTGAGTAAGTGCTTTAATGAAGTATTCCTGTGAGGCCTGACCAAGCTACAGAAATGTCTAATATTATGAATCATATTCTTAAATGTGATTGCTGATAGGAAAACAGAGATCATGCAAAGCCTACATTATGAAGTGAAAATGAACAGATAAGTGCAGTGCTGATCTTTTTTGTAATAGCATCTTTACAATCCCAGGTTGTTTTTCTCTAAGGGATTTTCACTTTATGTCACATTTGCCAGTGTAGTGTCTTATATTTAGTCAAAAATATTGGGATGCTATGTAAAATGTAAATCAAAACAGAATGCAATAATGTGTCCTCTCATGAATCCACACTTTATTCACAATAGAAGACATCAAATATTTAAACTTTGATGAGTTATTATTTCACAAAAGTGATTAGCACATTTTGAAATTTTGGGATGGGGCCACAAAAGGCTGGAAAAGTAACTGGTTCTAAAAAGAAATACTTGGAGACGTGCTATATAATTAGTTAGTTTAATTGTCTACAGGTCAGTAACATGACTCTGTATGAAGACAGCATCCCTGACAGAGTCTGTACTCTCACTTTTTTATACTTATCTGTATAAAAAGGGCATCTTAAAGAGGCAGAGTTTCTCAGAAGTTGAAATGGGCAGAGGTTCACCAGTCTGCAAAAACTTTAATCTGCAAATTTTGGAACAATTTCAAAATAATGTTGCTCATTGTAAAATTGTAAAGAGTCAGAAGATCCCATTCAAAGATTCAGGGAATCTGGAGAAATCTTTGTGCATAAGATATAAGATCAAGAAGTTAATATTGCATGCCTGTGATCTTCTGGCCCCCAGCAGTAGTGCATTAAAAACACACAACAGGAACACTTCCGGAAATCAAAGTTCACTGTGCCAACTGCAGATACAGGTTAAAGACATATGTGAAGATGATCCCAGCTTCTCTGAATCAAAGCACATTTAAAATAGACAGTGGAAAACTTCACAGACACAGTGGAAAACTGTTCTGTGGTCAGATGAATCTAAATTTGAGATTCTTTTAGGAAAACATGGACGCTGTTATCCTCTGGGTTAAAGAAGAGTGGGACCATCCGGCTTGTTTGCAGTGCTCAGTTGAATACACTGCATACAAACTGTATACATACCTGAAGACTTTACATAAATTCATTCAAATAACTCAAAAAATACTAAAAAGAACTATCACAACCAATAAAGAAATAACTAAGACACAAACTGACTTAATTATTTTCTTTATTGGCCAAAGGGCTCCATTCTCTGTGACTGTGATAAGATGTGCACCAGGATACCAGTTATGAGCACTAACCCAGTAAATCATATTCATGATCTGACATTTACATGGAACAGTGAGGCAGAGAAGTCCTATTATTCATCCCCCTGCATACATGATAAGTAGCTAACACTATTTACTACAACAGAAGTACAAATACATGCAATCATATTAAGAGACAGACAGCTGCTCTGCGAATAATGCCAAGCAGAAACATGTGCATAATGATATTTCATCTCACCACTTCTATTTCTTCTTTGGACTAAGATGAAAACAATCCTCAATTCTCCTTTTTTGTTACTCAGAGCCCAGTTTTTGTGGAAGAAGCTGTGTACAGGATACTGAATAGCACTGTGCAGCACACACACACACACACACACACACACACACACACACACACACACACACACACACACACACACACACACACACACACACACACACACAC